GTCTCTCTCTCTCTCTCTCACTCTATATATATATAAATATCTTTCTCTCATCGATAATACTCGATTCTAAACTACGTCATATAGGTCGTTGTCTTCGCCGCGGCATATCGCAAAGGTCGACTGTTTCCATGAACTTTAACTTTTTTTTACTGGTGTTCGTTATTCCTATCGTTTTACGAGAACATTTTCTAAAAATATTTCCAATGAAAGTTTTTTTTCTTTTCGTTTCATTGGATAAATTTATATGTATATATAAGTATTTTTGAACGATACCTAAATTATTATACAATACGTTGATATTCCGATAGATTCCAACGATTAATATATTTTTTTGTATATCTATTATATGTTTTTGTTTTATAATTAGATGTATCATTTTGAATTTATGTCTTTTATTTATAATGTTAAAAATGATAATTCATTTATCTGAAAACTATCGTATTAGATATGCATTAACATATCTTCAAAGCCATTTGAGATAATACATCAAAGGTTAGTGATCACTTTGTAGTAGTCCGATAGTGCATACATAACACATATATCCGCAAGTAGATATATATGTACGTATGTATATAGTATGTGTATATATGATATCTGTATCACTGAACTCGCCATTATAGGTTTACCTATGTTCGGAATATCGCAATAGACGACGTTATCTTTGAACATTACCGTTTTTTCCTTCATATTTAAGACTTTCTGATATTTTTCGCCATTTTCTGCGAACCGTTTATCGATTTTTCTTTTCTCGAGAAATCATGTTTTTATTTGATGAAAAGTATACGTTAAATTTACTTGGAAGAAGCATCAATTAGTTTCGAATTTCATTTCGCCTTTTAAGAAAATCGTTGTCTCGTTCATGTTTCGAGTGGTGTCATATCGAATCCACAAAAGATCGATCGTAGACAATATTCGACACAAAAGAAAGCGTTAGAGGCTATTTTCTTCAGTTATGGTCACGAATCCTATGGCGTATAAAGTGCTGAGTTTTGCGTTTGACGCGTTCAGGTGTTATACATTCTCGAGAGCCAATTGAAAAGCTTTCAAACCGCGCAAACAAGCTGCGAAACGCCTTTGAAGTAACTCGATCGAGACTTTCCGCGTGAACAGCGCGAAGGGAGTTTCTCTATCGGTTTTCAAATACCACCGGGAACTCCTTCGAACAAGAGGCATATCGATTTTCCGATAAACTTTGGCTACGCCTTTAGCTCTTTAAACTTCGATAAAGTGACGAGATCTTATCGCTTTATCGTTAAGATTATGTATATCTGCATATAAATATTATTTATTTTTTTTTTTTTTTTTACCACCAAACGCGAAAAAGTCGAGTATATATAGTAGAGAAATTGCTTCAGTCTCGATGGAAAGAGCTCTTTATAAAATGCTGGATGAAAACAACTCATTACCCTCTTGGAAGTTTCTCGTGTTTATATTGAACTCTCTAAAGTCTACAAATTAAATGTTGCATTTCCTTTGTAAAGTAGAAATGAAAGGAAGTGGAATACTGTCGTTACTTTCTATATTACAATAACTATCAATTTTTGTAATATTTTTGTTTAATCATTTATTTGTTTATTTGTTCAATTATCATAAATATTAATCATAAATTTGTCTATTAATATTTGGTCATATTTTTAATTAGAACTTAAGTACATTTGGATAAAATTTTATAATTAATTGTAAACGATTAATTTTACTAAACATTGTTTAAAATTGTAATTCTTTCTACCCATGAGTCTCTCGTTAGAAAATCTGCTTACGTTATAACGTAAACAATGCAAAGGTAAACACCTTAAAGTAAACAAGCAACGATAACTGACACTTTGAGATTTTGTGAACTCGTCTATCCCATAGAAAGTTCGTGTAAGAAGGTATATATGCTTTACAACTGTTGCGTATTTCTATATTTGAAGTGTGTATGCGTGTGCAAGTGTCATGTGCAAATGAAATTTTATGAGAAGCTCTCACACCTTGTTTGATGTGTCTTCACTCTTTGTTTGAACTTTATTACGTGAAATTTTTTCATAGTTGGACCACAAAGACATGAATAGGAATAAGAATTATTTTTAATAATAAAATACAATCAAAGCGTTTTATATATATATTATATTATAAAAGAAAATGATTTTCTTCAAAGTAACGAAAACAAAATTTAATCAGAAACGTTTAAAACGCCGTTAAAAATGGTGGAAGCAAAGTTGTGCACCTACTACATATAATTATATATTTTTCTTTGTTTTAATATTATTAATAATTATTAAGCAAACTTTAAAATAATTGACTCTGGCTACCCTTTGTTTATAATATTCTCAACAAAAATAAAAGAAATAGCAGTACATTAATTAATTTTTTTTACAGCTAGCCGACTATCTTTTCATTTGAAGTACCACCGGCAACGCCCTTTATTTTCTCACCTAATCACGAAGCCGTCATACTTTGTACTACCCTCATAGTCGATAGCCGTCTACGCTTGTACTCGTGAGACGAGACTTATTTTACCCAAGGGGATGAAAGATTTTCACAAAGTGTATCTACGTGACAACGTGGATTTTCAAAACAGGCATCACCCTACAGTGGATTTGTCCTTCAAATCCCTACAAGCTGATTTCTCCTGTGGTTTTCAGTTTCAAAGTATTTACTATGCCTCTCTACAGTCTGTCGAGATTCGATATTATTTTTAATATCACACATTTGAAATACATTTGATTTTTTTTGTTATTGATTTAAGAAACGTAAAAGGGGTATGTAAATGTTTCGATAAATTAAAATAATTTCAAGTGAAAAAATCACGCGATACAAACTCTCTCTCCTATTTATTATTATTAACAATTTGCAATTATCAGATATACATTTTGAATATTGTCTTTACTTTAGAAATTTATCACGATAATACATTTCCATATTAAATTCGTTTTAATAATGTTTTCGGGAAATCTTAAAAACTATTACTTTTTGCAATGGTAGTAGGAAATAAATAGAATGTTTATCAGATTCTCGATAGTAAAGATAAAAGTAGGACAGTACTATGAAAAGGGAAAAAGTAGTGGTGGCAGTTGTTTTAGTTCTGCCCTATCGCACCACTCGAAATTATCGTTACGAGCGTTCGTTTCGCGAAGAGATGACGTCGTTACCATTCGTCTTCGATCGTAAAAGTTATCGAACCTAGTCGCCATAGAAGCATGGCTCTGTGTTACCAAAGGGAACCAACTTCGATGATCGATACTAGCAGAGAATGGAAGAATGAGATAGAAGTTGATAGGATATTCGGCAGAAGGCCTGTTCAGAAATAAAAGCACAGGATACTCTCCCGGAAATTACGGTCTCCCTGTCAAGCATTTCCGGTTTAACGATTTAGTATATAAATCCTTTCAAACAGAAAGGACTTTGAATTCGTCTGTCTCGATTTAATTCCAATAATGATGAACTTTAGACAATTCTAACAAATTTTTTTAATTGATAATAATATTGTTCACTTGTATTTGATAATTGATTATACATTGATATAAGAATACATTTTTCATTGCCTAATAAAAAGGCATTTTTTTTGTTGTTTTTTTTTTTTTTTTTTTAGATAAAATTTTTCGAATCTTTTATCCTATCTGCATCGAATTTCTAGAAGAAGATAAATAGAAAGAGAGAGAGAAAAAAAAAAGGTAAAAATATCGTTGGAAGAAACATTAAGTGAAATTTATCGGAAGGAACAGTGGCGCAGCGGATGTATAAGTTGTTTCTAACATTCGAAGTTTGTTGACCGTGAAAGAAAATATAGACGGAAGAAGTAATCGCTTTCGAGTTTAGCGTTATTACTCCCACGCGGTAAAATCTTTTTACTTTTTTAAGTATCCTTCGAAACTAAAAGAAGTAATGATTGTTGCCGAAGTAAAATGAAAACTTTAATTCCCTTTTTTTCTTCTACATTTCTAGAATCTTTTTATTTGTTGAATTATCGAAACGTCGTAGTATTGGGTTTTTAAAATGAACATGTTTTTCCAACGTTGAACTCCATTGAAAATGGCGGCAGTTTCTCTGTTGTATTTATCTATATATACAAGCAGCCACAAGTTTTATACTCTCTCTCTCTCTCTCTCTTTATCTTTATCTTCTTTTTTCTTTTTATCAGTGACCAATAAACGTAAAACTCGTATCCTCTCATCCTCATAAAATATCACGCACGGATGTGTTTTATTGTATAGTCATCTCTTTGATATCTCGTCATAAATGATTTACAATCGATATATATATATATATATAATATTTGTAATCCATTAACGATCCCAAAAGAACTTTTGTGAGCGTGTAAATGCATCAAAATGAAATTCATTGATAGAGTTGTTAATTTTATATTATTTTAGTTTATTTCATTCTTTTTATTGTTTTTTTCTTAAGCCCCGTTTGTACCGACATTTTCACGAAATAATTTTTACAACTGAATGAAGTTCTAAAACTTTCTTTCTCTCAATTTGAATCAAAATCAAAATTAATAGAGTTTGAAATGAGTTTAATGTTAGAGTTTGATCATATTCGAGTTTGCAAAGAATGATCGTCACTTGACTTTTGACTGATTTTCATGCCTCAATGACATTGAGAAATTCTTTTATAAATCAGTTTACGTACGAGCAAGTCTGATATTATAGTACTCGATCGTGAATTTGACTGGAAATCGAGTTGGCTATGCATGCGATACGTATGCAAGAATGAATCCGAATTGAAGCCTGAAACTGCGCTTTCCGGAGATATCAAAAAGCTATTCGAGTATCAACAAATAAATACGACCCTCCATTTAAGAACATCTAAGGAGGCTATAGATCATTTTAAAAAATGTGTTTGCACAATAAAATATTAATTCCTTTGTACCATTTAATTTCTACGAAAATAAAGTTGGTATCTTTATTAAAATTCTGAAAAGAAAAAAACAGCTTATATTATTTTAATCCTCCGAATACTTTGCATTAATACAGTATTAACAATGATTTTTAATGAATACATTTTTGTATTTACAGCTCGTGGGCGGAGAGTTCGACATGGAGTTGAACTTCGTGATACAAGATGCGCAGAACATCAGGCACATGTTAGAACTTCTGGATCACTGCCCACCTAATCTCCAGGTATATTATACTTTTCATCGTTTAATTTGAACCTTACGTAAACTCGATCAAATCCCATCGCTCACTAATACATCAAAGTTTTAAATGGCTTTTGCGACGTATTACAACTATCGTTTCCAGTCATTTATTATGCACGGCCATTGGGAATTCCCTATGTTCTTGTTATCCTAAAAAGTTTAATACACGAATATCTGAGAAACTTAACGAAATATCAGGAAAATGATTAATGATCTAATTGATTAGTAACATTCGAAATTATTCAAGTTTAATTATATTTAAAATTTACCGTTTTAATATGAGTTCGTTAAATCGTTCGTTTGCAAATATTATAACTTCGGTATTTCATTTTATCGATAAAAATGCGTGTTTTTTTTTCTCTTTCTCTCTGTATTTATTAAAAAAGTAAAAACAAAGGAGATTTTTTTTCTCCGAGAAAATGTTCATGTCAATTTATTGAAGAACGAAACAAAGGAAGTAAATGATGGAAATGCAAAAAAAGTATCGATTATACTTAATCGAGTTGTATCTACCTCTTGTTTTCCTTTCTTCGTCTAATTATTTCCGTGAGGGAAGAAAACAATTTTCCATAAATACCATGAAAGTTCAGTGATATCCAGACGATATTAGTTTAATTTTTTATCGTATAGAAAGAGCTTGATCGGAAAAAAAAAGGGGCGAAAAAGATCAAATCGTTTTTCGCTCGTACGTAGCGATGCTATGAAAAATTTCAATAACGGTTCTTTAATCATAACTTTTAAAGCGTAAAAAGCTTTGTACGATTATTTCTCCCGCCTACATATGAAATTCGTCGGTCCTTTTGAATCCTCTGGAAAAAAATGTATTATCTATATGTCTCTTATTTTTCACTCACCGTTTTATGCGTTCTTTAGTCATTATTCTTTTATACTTTTGTATTTTTTTTTTTTTTATTATTATTATTTCGAAATATTTCAAAATGTTTGATGTTTCCTATTATTTTTTAATTATCGTTAAAATTCGAAATAAAATAACTGAAGATAATTTTTCTCCGCTTAAACAGTATACTTGTAACATTAAAAATTTCCATCTCTTCATGACAAGTATACTCGTCACACAGTTATCAACGTTTTACGTTTTGTTGGCTTGGAAAAATTGGAGTTCAGCCAACACCTTCTTCGAAGGATTCACGAAATCTTTGTTTTCTTTGCAAGTTTTATGCATGAAGTCGCATCGTTCGCGCGCGCGCATGCGTATGTATACTTTTTTATCTTCTGCACAGTTATATTTCGTATAACGAATTCTTAATTGTTTGTACATAAAAATAAAAAGTAAAATACATTTAGATCTATTATGAGAAAAGTCGAGATATTTTATTCTTCTAATATTTATTCACTTTTTCCCCGAGCCACTAATAATTAATAGATAAATAAAAAAGAAAAAAAAAGGGAAAAAGATAATATTATTTTCTCTGATGTTATTACCACAGTAGTATGCACATGTATAGTATATACGTAGCATTGATATAAAAATAAATTGAAGGTAGGGTGTCCGAAGGGATTTGAAAGTAGATGTGAGTTATATCTCCCACCTCGATTCGTAGTGATGTTACTAGTACGCAAAATCGCTCGTGTCGTTGACATGGTAATCGAAAACGAGATCTGAAATTCTTTTGTAAGCGAATAAATTGGATGGCGCCGGCGTTGCTAGTTCTGCCCAAGCTAAGCATTGGTCGCCATCCTACGGCGAGAGGAAAAAGGTGAGTTATTGAAAATACAATATGCTCGTGGAAACCTTTTCTCCATGGGGGATGCATATGTAGATTCGAAAAGAAAATAAAGATATACGTATAACATTGATACCCCTGCGAAACAAGAAAAGGGAATGGAAAAAAACAATTTCTTATAAATTACATTCTATAAGTATACGTATATGTATATATAAGAGAAAATAGCCTATTACAATAACACACTAATATAAATTTGATAATAATAATAATTAGATAGTTTATAATAATGAGATATGATTTGAATGAGAAAAATTTGTTTTCGAATTCTTTAATAATTTTTTTTTATTATCTCTCTCTCTCTCTTAGAATTAGATAACATTATATTATTAGTAGAAATTTTATATTGTTAATAGGAAATATTATACAGTAATATGAAAGAGTACATTTTCTTGAAAATTGGCTATTAAAGTTAATCAAGCGCTAATATTTTTACGTAATAAGTACATGTCTATAAAGTATCGACAAAATCGATCTTTTTATTTCGACAGTGCATAGATAGATAGAGGACATGTTTAATTTTATAACAATTTTGGTTTCACGTTTCTATGACTTTCTATTCTGAAGATATAACGTTTTAAAAGTTATTCAAAATTTAAGAAACTTATGGTCTAATGTAAGTATTATACATAAACGTAATAAATAGTAAAGAATTATGAATTTCATAGAAGTAGTATAAATTCTAGGAATTTATGTAGATCACTGTGTCAATACATTTTTTTAATAAAATTATGTAGGTCAGTGGGTCATATAAATATCTTTTATTTTTATGAAGAAATTTTCAGAACTAAGATTCGCAGAGATTTCGAACAAACACCATTTAAAAGGACAATTTTTTCATGTTTTTCATTTTACTCTATTATAATCATTATTTCAATATTTATTATAAGCACAATTTTTCAGACTACTTAAAGCAAATATTTGTCTATTTTCTAGTTCATCAATAAAAATTCTTTGGAACTTCGTTATAAACAATGATTACGAAAAATTAGTTAACAATTTATTTATATAATTACTTTGTATAACAATGTCAATAAAAACAGAAAGTGTTAAAAATGATGTCGATGTAATAGAAAAATATATCCTGAAAATATAAAGATATAATATAAAGTTATTAAAATGGAGATCTTCAATTTAATAAATAATCGAACGATTCATCGAAATTCCAAGGAATGAAATCGAAAGATTACGTTTTAGTCTTTTCATCTGGATGTTCTTCATAAACGATCAAGAGCTTTTAACTATTATAGGGCTTTGGTATCGCGTAGAATCGCTCGACATAGTCTTCATAAATACCAATCGCACGTTATGAGTAATAGTTGGATGTTACGCTCCGTAACAAAGAAAGGAATGTCGGTGTAGAAAGGGGAAAAAAAGGTATCAGACTTCCAGGCGAATCTGCTCTCTCGAAAAAAAAAAAGAAGAGACAAAAATAGAAGAGAGAGAGAGAGAGACACTCTGGATTCCGTGTTATCGAGTTCCCATTTATCAAGCGCCCTTTTAAAAAAAAGAACGAAAGGAAACATAGAGTACACGCGGGAACTCGCTATACGAAAAAAGAACGATACGAGCGTGCTCATCCTTTCGCGCTCTTTGTCGAGAAGTGTATTGATTTTGCGCAAAAGTAAAAAAGTTCTAGCTCAAAAAGGTGAATAGAGTATGATAGAGAGAGAGAGAGAGAGAGAGAGAGAGAGAAAAAGAAAGGGAGAGATAGATAGATAGATAGATAGATAGATAGATAGATAGATAGATAGATAGATAGATAGATAGATAGATAGAGAGAGAGAGAAGCCAATCAATGAGTTTCAATGTAACATTAAGGAGACTACAAAATCTTTTATATCGATTTTTATTTTGCTCCAAATTTTCATATATTTATAAATTCCTTCTTTCTTAAAAATTCGTTTAATATTATAAATAACTGATATTTGTGTTATATTAAAATACATTTGGGATCAAATTTGGTGTACCATAGTAAAAGACAAGAAAGAAGGGGAAGACGTTACTTTTGACAAATAACAGGTCATTTAGAAACGAAACGTATTCTTCCTCGATCGACTAACAATATTTTACGTATGCAAATGAAGACTATTTTCTCGATCTAGTAATCTTCTCTTTCTCTCTCTCTATCTCTTCTCCCCCACCATACTCTACCATCGTGAAATTAAATGTAAAGCATTAAATCAGCCGGCGTCGAACCGCCGTAATGCAATTAAGCAAAGAAAGGTTCCTGGAGATACATTAATTCTGCCTCGTGAATTATGCTCTGTCGAGCGCAATGCGCATTTCATTTGCGCCAACGACAAATTAATAGCGAGAGTTCAGTTGCACGCGCTATGTTCCTCCCAGTTTAAAACGCTTCGTTGATTTACAAACGCAAAGAGACTCAACGGACGATAGGACCGACACCTTCCCTCCGTTAATTTCAACTTATCTGATAATTATCACGATATACCTCCCTTCCTTTTTCTATTATCTACATTCCTCTTAACCTCGTTATATTAAATATTTCAATTTAACGTATTAATTTATTCATTATGATTTTTTTCCTTTTATTTTTTATTCAATAAAATCGAAGATCTAAAAAGTAATAGGCTTCGAATTCGTTTGAGTATTAACCATTTGAGTCTCAAGCAATAGTTCTTCAGATTTTCTGTCGAAAAATCCCAATAGATTTCGAGCGTTATGACAAATAACAGCACCGTCACTGATTGCGAAGTAATGTTAAACAAACGCTGTTTAGGATTTTTCGCACTTGATTAAGACAAGCGCTACTGTGTTGTTCGGGCTTTTTCGAGAGTTTTTTTTGAAAGCTTCTGGTACTCAAACGATTAAAGAGGTTTCGTTGGTCAGTATTAATTCTGTTACATAAACTTTATTGCAAATATATTCGAGAAATAGTGTCTTTTACGTTGCGTATTCAAGAAGTTTATTACTTTCTTACCGAAATTTCTTTATGTAATATGAATGTACTAATAAAAGGAAAACAAATCGAACGCTATCTAACTTTAAATAATTCAAATTCGCTTCGTATAATTTACCTGTTAGAATTTCTCGGACTATGAATATATAACATTCAGCATAAACGAATATAAATATTTTTCGAATTATGATGAAATAGCTTTAATTCAACCTACATTTAAAACATATTCATATAAATTACCGTCATTATTGTCATTAATGTCGTTATTGCTGTTATTGTCATTATCGCCGATTGTTAGCCGTTAACTCACCATTA